CCAAGTTATCAATCCTCTAACATTAACAATTTTCAGCAAAGGGGGAATACTTCTTCCTCAAAGCCAAGTATCGTGAAGTGTAAATATTATGTAATTAATCTCAGTCAGCGGGCTCACTCTCGCGTTAAGAAATCTTAACTAAAACGAGACCAAAAGCGCAAAGGGTCTCCAAGATGCTGCACCAAATGGCAAATAATTACTGTGCAATTATATCGAGGTAGATGAGACAAGTGCTCTCATTATGGATATCCGTCGACTGTATATTCGCCAAGGAATCCCTACAAGTCGGATTTCTCAGAAGTCACGGTGGATCGACTTCACAGTAAAAACTGTCAGAGCTTAACCTACGGGTGCTTACGTGTGGAAAGTTCTCGGAATCAAGTACAAATGTGCAGAATATAATAGTTACCTGAGCTTTGACCTTTTACGCTGACGTGGATTAGGCTCTAAAAATTTTCTCCGATCATTGCGAAGCCTAACGAAGTAATCGAAATCGCATACGAGATCAATTCGGACGAAAGGCGTTTTGAGTCATAGGGCAGAAAACGGGAATATATGTCACGTGTAATTGAAAAATATCAAGGGCAATATTTTATCGTCCGTACGTATCTTTTGGCATGTGCTCTCTCTCTATCTCTCTTTTCACTTTGTTCATTACTCGTACAGACATATACGAGTGCCCCACGCGTCTATACACCGGAAATGACTGATAGTTAAAAGAGAGAATGAAAGGCAACGCTGTACCACGGCGTAAGAAGAGCAAGAACACTATTCATGTGGAGAAGACGTTATCTCGAAGCCTATATACATTGACTCTTTATCGACCGTACTCTTCGTACCTGGCAGCAATGTTTGGTAAATGTCAGTTCTCGATTGTCATTTTCTGGCTTTTCCAGGCCATCCAGCTCGCTTTTCGCTCGATTGCAGCTACCAGCTTTTCGTCTCGACGATTCTATACGCCGGCAAATACTTTCAAAATGGCATAAAACGTCTGTTCGATAAAGCGCATCTCGTTTACGCTTTTTCACAATCGAGAAGCTGCCACGCACGCACTTGACGAATGTGTGTTATGAAAAACTGCGTAAAGTAATCGCTCTCCGATAACACGACAAAATAGTTTAAACGCGAATTCTTTATTGCTTCTTTTCTTCATCGCTCAATCGACTGGAGTGATCGCGGCTGAACGATAGTTTTTAATATCTTTGCAGCGTGTGATATTGACGTCAGTAAGAACTGTTCGCATCAAAACAACGCACAACGTTTATAAAATAGTTATAAGTTCAATGAGAAGATAAACGCAACGCCAAGACAATTGAAAGGTTCTTGTATCTCGAAGGTGAATTGGCAGAGCCGATAATTCGCGGCAGAGGATATAAACATTTCTTCCAGAAATTTTTCAAAACTCACTCGTTGCTGAACAATTCTTATTTTTATCGCAAATTTTATTTCGTTGCATTTAATCATAAGAAAGATTAGTATATATCACGTCTTCATTTAGACATTGTATAATATTAGTAAGTCGAGAAGCAACGTGAATGCACTATTGCAAAAGCAATGTAAAATGATATCACTCGTGTATAATATTATCAGTCTTCAGCGCTACCGAGATTGGGTAACTTTAACGCCACAACACGTAAACATTGTGCAAACAAATTTCATATCCTGTCTCCTGCATTTCTATGTCATGGTGGACGGCAAAGGCTTGAAGCTTCAAAGCTTCGCTGCCTTCATCCACGATTATGGAAACCGAGTAAAATGGAGAGAATTGCCCAGAGTGTGCCCATTTGCACATGACATCTGATAAGTTAACAGTGTTGGCAGGGTAATTTAAGCAAACCAAATTAACTGGTACATTACGGTGCGTTAATCATAACTTCCTGATTCCTTTACATAGAGAGGATACTTGAGTTTTAAATAGAAGAGATTCCATTTTGTGTTCTTTTATGTAAATTATCTCAGTTATTTCCGAAAATTATGATCAGAATTTTTATATTTTAATGTTATTCCAATCAAAATTATGTTTGTGTTCCAAGATATGCTCAGTCACGACCGAGTGTTTGGAAGCATCAATTTTAAACTGGTATATGTTCTTTAATTCTCGCCGAGTTGTCTTTTAATTTAACCTACATATGACGCATCGCAATTATTGCGGTAAATTTTATACATAAAATTGTTATTAGACAATAAATAATAATTTCGATAAAACAGGAAGGCAGTCGATTTTATTGTTTATTATCGGAGCCATTATATTTATTCGAAATAATAATTTATTGTCTAGTAACGAAATATTATTTCCTTTCCAATTACTACACACACATATATCATACAAAAAAAATGTATAGTAATAAAGAATAGTTTGCATCTATTTTTTAGTTATGGATAGCCAGCCAAAAATTATAGTATCAAATAAGATCAAAATATGAGATCAAATATTATTTCCAATATCGATTGAATTTTTGAAATACTAATTTCTCAATGTACACACAGCTGAAAAATTTGTGTTAAATTTAACAGATATCACATGTCCCAAACGATCCACACAAATTTTTGTGTTAATTTAACATGATATGGATAATTTAACATAATAATAACATAATAACATAAATGGATATGTTAAATGATTACACTAAGATTCTGTTAATATTTTAACATAAAATAAATGCAAATCTCAAAATAATTTGAAATAAATTTTGTGTAAAATGAACACATTTTAATGATAAAATTAATTTTTTAAATGTAATTTTTACATTTTACAGATGTAATAAGTCAATTGACGGTTCGAAATCACTCTCGCTCATGTTATATATTATAGAATAAAATCAACATTTTTTTTCTGTACATTTCAACAGATAAATCTTGTTACTAATAATATAGAACATGCGTATTGTGAAAGATTAAAAAATAAATACATATTGCGTTGTTTTAACATTTCTTTTCAGTTATTTCAATAATTTTTTTATTTGAGGTCAATTAACACACGAGCAATATGTTAAATTAACACATGAATGTGTTAAACATTTAACACAAAAATTTTAACCGGCATTGTTTTTAACAAAGAAAACACAAATTTTCCAACTGTGCATTGTTCAGTATTGTCTTTTTGATGAAACTTAAATTCGCATGGAAAAAGTTTCAGCGTTTTCAAATTGCGATTCGATGATACCAGTAATAATCGAGACTCGATTAGAGATTTGAGAGATATCGGCAACTTGTGCTAAGGAAACTCAACGATCCAATAATCGCGGACGACGTTATCTCCCTTTAGCATTTCGCCAGCATTGCACGAAAGGAAAGTTCTTACGGAAACGTTCGCAATATACACGCAAATGTGCTATAGCACTTAACGTAATTGAAATAGATATTACGACAACGAATCACGCCTATTTGCTGCAATCGAAAAGTTTAGGCTCCATTCATACCATGGAGAAAATTTTAGTGTTAAGATACTGAAAGTAAACTAAAAAAAAAGATACTGAAAGCAAAGTAAAAAAATTACATTTTGCACACAAAAGAGATACAATTTAAATGTTTTACAATTCGATACTGATGCTAAGTTGGAAATTTTCTTAAATGTTACCTTGCTACTTTTTGTTGTCGACAAAATTACGGTACTCTGATAATTCAATTGCAACGAAAGAATCGCAAATACAATTAAAGGATCGTTCTCTTTTGCATAAAATAGAAAGATGAATAAGAGCAAATGTATTCTTGTCATAAAAATCACAACACACGTAATCCGACTAAACCATTTTTCCGCGATACCATTTCAATTTCAGTAACAATTCAAATTAAGACTCGACCTATTTCATTCGCGTGTGCTTCTGTTCGAAAAGGCGTAACAAGTGGTATATGAAACAGCACCGAGATGAGTACAACACGCGATAGCCATCGCGCATCGAGATGTCCACATTGTCATTCGATTTACAAGTGAGTTCGCGAACCGACGCAAAGAGACGAGATCGCGGCGCGATACATACCGTTCCCGTGTCTCGAATCTCCACATTTGAACCCGTGCACGTGTCGTATACACGTGGAAATTGTGTACGTCAACGGAATCAGAACTCTCGGAGAAGCACAACGCGGCTGGCTATTTGACGAAAGTATCTTTCGCGCGAAAAATGTGGTTTCGTGCGCGCATGTATGGGTAACATCGGTATGAGAAAACGAAAGGGAGAAAAAGAAGGACGGCTATCCAACGTGCGTTTTCATGCATGCATGTGGCCCCGTGACCAAGATTTAGGCCTGCCGCACAAAATTGCATAGCTGCATATGCATAGCACAAAACCGTCCAGACCAATAAACATATTATGCAAATCAAGGTGTCGACTCAATGCACGACGCTCGTTGGTTTAGACGGTTCTTATGCTATGCATAGCTGTATATGCGTAGCGTAAAAACCGTTTAAACCAATGAGCATCGAGCATTGAGACGCCATATTGATTTACATAACATGCTCATTGGTCTAGACTGTCTTATGCTATGCATAGCTGCATATGCATGGCACAGGACCGTCTAGACCAATAAGCGTGTTATGTAAATCAATATGGCGACCCAATGCTCGATGTTCGTTGGTTTAAACGGTTTTCACGCTATGCATATGCAGCTATGCAATTTTGTGCGCGATAGCCCTTAGTCGTAAGAGAAGCGCATAGAAGCATAGAGAAGTGTCGAAACATACCTATGTACGGGTCATTGCGCATGTCAAATTGGCAAGGGTGCGGCAGCGGCAACTCGAAGACTAAACCGCGGTTCCGGGGCGAATCCATCCTTTCGCCGCTCGATCGTATTTTTCCGCTGCACCTGATTGCCGTCTGCCCGAGGTCCGCCCGATAGTTGAATCTTTTCGTTTCTTCCTCGAGCTTGCGATCTCTACGAACATCCTGTTCCGCAAGAACGGATCAAACGATACTCCAATGATCGACCGTAACAACTAATGCGCATATGTAAAAGTTATGAGGCTTTTAGTGCAGATTATTGTACAAAGCTTTCCTCGGAAACTTTCGCGAACAAAAGAGTTTCGTAATTTTCGATTTATTTTTATTTATATTTTTATTTGTTACCTTCCTTCAACTCGATACCTTAAATCTTCCCGATACTCGATAGTTACGCGCAGCGTAATTTACTAAACGAAAAAGAAGCTCCCGTTAATCCCAAAGTGCTTCATCTTACTTTCATATTATTCTCTCATAAATGTATACGCAAATTAATTTATTGATGTATTATCTGTTTCATAATTTCCCACGTTTTCACACGCATTTACCAGTTTATCAATTAAACCTTCATTAATATGGATTGATAAGTATAGATATATTTGACCTCTCGTACGTGTATCTGTATACGTATATTTGCAGGAAAGTGCCACTTCACATCGTTGCGTCAATGAATATTACAGATATGCGTTTTAATTAATCTATTGATGTATTTATATACGTCACCCCCCGACTAATGCGAAGCCTTTCGTATATTTGCATAGCGTATCGCAATTATTCTCCGTGCATCATGCGATCCGTAATAACCTGCGCCCACATTCAACCATCTATTTATTTGTCTGTCTATCTCCGACCGTTTCGCCGACTCTATTGTCAGAGTGCAAACATACCGGGATCCTAATCTGGTTATATCATGCAGTGCAGCAACTCTTACGAGCTATCCCTAACTTTAGGGGTCGAACAGGATGCTCGGCTATTTCTGTCTCTCTCTCTCTCTCCCCCCTCTTTCCCTCTCCCTCCCTCCCTCTCTCTCTCTCTCT